TGATTTGCGATAAAAATTCATTGATACCGCATTCCTCGTCAACCACCTAAATAATTATTATAATTATTAATTGTATAATTTTTTTTTTTTAATTTATAAATTATAAATTACCCTTGCTTGTGAAAGGTCCATTGGAGACAAGCTCGAATATCTCGGAGGTGAAATGAGTCTCATTTCGGATTCGGTAAATAACTATAAAATAATAATAAAATACAATAAATATTTTTATGAATGATATAATATTTTTTTCACATTACCTCAGGTGTGTCTCGTGCCCTTCTACGATCTATCCAAATTCTAAGTAACTGCATAGGTGCATACATCTGGATTTGATAGGTCAGGTTAGGAGATGTAGTTGTGTTTTCTAAAGGTGTACCCAACTTTATGAATACTTCCATTTCATGTTCAGTATTTGGTGGTTTGGTATCTTGTAAACTAGTTTCTTCTAGATAATCGCAATACTCATCGATTTGATTAAGAAGAATGGTTTGGATGATTGATTTTTGAATCATAGTTTTTGAAATACACCATTCTAATTTATTTAGCTCAATCAAATCTGCACGATTCAATAAAACTCTGCATTCGCTTTTATTTTTACATTCAACAACTAGATTGTTTTCACCCTTGTACACCATACTCGATATTAGAAATAAATCAGTTTCGAGAAAAGTTATTCGTTTATTTGTTCGTGGTGTTTCTAATATAAATGATAATATATTACCGATAAGAGCAAATATACGTCTTAGGAAATCTGTTGTTAATTTTATATGTCTCGATGAAGTGATTAAATGTATAACAGTTTGAAATTCATCAGTTGGATCGATACCAATATGCACAAACTTACGTGCTGTAAAGTCTAATGTATATGATGTAGATTCCATAAGATATGCAGGTGGTGTCGGTGGAATGTATGTATACGACTTCTTTTTGATATCAACAATTGGACCGGCCATATTGAAAAATAAAAACACTTGTAAAAATTAAAAACACTTGTAAAAATTAAAAACACTGATGATTTTAAATAACGTTGAGTAAATTAAAAATGACTGTATGAAAGAACTAAGGTAAAGTACGAGTATAGCTCTCTGGAACAGACTGATTCGATTTGGGTACACTTAGTGGCTTATATGCTTATGGAAAAAGTGAGAAGGGTTATTATATTGTACATTAATAAATAATTGTATTCGTATTATACTAAATATGTAAAAGATAAGTAGGTGTTATACTTAATGATATAATTATGTATACTGTATAGAGTAGCTTTATAGTATTAATATCTAGATATCTTTAATAGCTGGTTACAGTAATAGTATTGTTTCATTTTAACTATATAATACTTTCATAATATAGTTGATGATATTTAAAATATAATTAAATAATTGTATTTAAATCATACTAAACATGTAAAAGTAAATTTCGTGAAAGCTAGTGATTCCATTACATGTTATTCACTAATAGGTATTTTAATTTGTTGTTAAACGATTAAGATATTTTGTATTATAGATCGGTTATTCATTAACAGCTAAAATTAAATTTCGT